CTTAAAAAACCCATATAAATCAAAAATTGTCTCTCTGATACCTTGTGTCCTAGTTACTAATTTTTTCTTCATCTACAAGTCTAATGGGTATTTCTATATAATTACTTTTTGTTAGTAATAAAGTAACAGTAGCTGGTGTCTCTGGTGCCAGAAGGCTCCCAGCTGTGGGATTCCCTTCTGTAAGAAAATAAGACCTGTAAAGAAAAATCTCGTTTTACTGCTCAAAGTCTGGGCTAGATTTTAATTTTACATACCAGGCCATAGCCGCAGAACCCCAGCAATAAACCCAGGGAGCAACCTTTTCCCTGATTTCAGCTTTGCTGCAAGGCACACTGTTTTATCAGTGTGATACTACTACTTATTTTTGTTCCTGCCAATTACAGTGGCTACTGCACAGACTAACCTTGTAACATATGGTTAAGGATTACTCAAAATCCTTGCTGAATCTTGAAAGACTCAGGAACCATGATGTTGTCAGAAAATAAACTGTTAGAATCCCAAAATGTGGCATTTCTGTAGATAATTGCAGACAACAAAGACTAGAAGGCACCTTCTGCTGAAGCACTGAGCTGCTTACATTTGATTTAATGCAAATATTTACAGTAACTTAGATTCTGTGCGAGCTGTTTAAGTATAAAAATACTTCACAAAGAGAAGACTTTTTTATATGGAGACCCAGGATGCATACCCAGAGGGAAAATGGCCATTCCATATCAGAAAGGCATTGGTAAGGAGCATGGAAGGCAGGAGACAACAGGCTATCCATTTCCCTCCTATTTTTTTCTGTGCTTTGGTGTTCTTGGTTTCTTCCTCAGTTTCTTCTCAGCTCCTCCTCAGCTGATTGTTAGCCAGAGTTGGCTCTGCTGCTCGGTGAGGTCTATTGCCTTCCTCTGTGAGCATCCAGCTGAGGACAGAGCCATGACCAGCCATTAGCTCCCTGCTGTTGCTGAAGCAGCTTTAGACTGTGCTTAAAGAAAAAAGAACCACCACATTTTTCAATTGCAACCAAAGAAAAATATTGTCCTTGTTGGCCACAAATGAAAAAATGCCTATTGACATCAGTAAGCTCAGGATTTCATTTCAAGAGTTAGGGAAAAGGGTTCATTGAAGCGTGTGAGTGCCTGTTTCTGGGGCATTGCTGTGCGATGCTTAAAGCGGACGGCTCAAGCCACAGCCTTTGCCCTTCCTGCAGCCCCCCACGAGCCGAGCCGAGCCTCTGCTGCTGCACTTTCTGAGGAAGCTTGTGCACATCTGTGGTTTTTAAAAGGAACTGCATTTTAAAATGTTAAAATGTTTAGCCCCATCAGTTTTTTTAGAAGATCCCAGCTTCCTAACATAGGCTAATGATGGCCTACAAAGAGCTGAACCTACAGCAGCAAAGGTCAGGTTGGGCTGATAGTACCTATATTTGAGCTTGAAGTGCTTTCGCCAGGTTGTATGTTAAGTGAATGTTATTAAATTATTTCAGTCTACAAAACAGAAGCAAGCACAGCTTATGAACAACAGTTCAGATCTGTCAGGGCCACCTGCCTCGCATTCAGCTAAAAGCACGCTTGAAGTTGCAAGACAAGTTGTGTGACGAGGTGACACGTTTCTCTTGTGGGCCAATGCTGTCTGCATTTAGGTTACAAGAAGGCAGAGCAGGCAGGCGCCTGGCTGCAGGAGAGTGCATGCAGATGTCCTCCTGCTGCCACCGCATTTTGTTGAGAATCCCAGCATGGTCTCCCCACACTCTTAGTTTCAGCTTCCAGGGCAGGAAGACAAACATGAGTGGCCACTACATCTTGCTTTCTGGTCAGAAATGAGAATTCTTGCAGTGCGTTGAGGTGCATGGCTTTATTTGGGGTTGGTGGTAAAACCTCTGAAACTGTCATGGCGTGTACAGGGCAGAACACAGTCAGCAACCCAGTCTGCTTTCCTAGTTTTTTTGTATAAGTTTCAGCTGGAAACAAGATTTGGCATGAAAGCTAATGGATGTGATAGCAGCAGAACTGAAACCCCAGTGAAAGCTAAATGGATCCCACAACTGCAAAGTTTTGCCTACCTTTAACCCCAGCATTACCTGCAAGTGTCCCTGAATGCTGTCTTTCTTCCATCCTGTAAATGAGAAAGGTCATGTCTGGCTCTTTCTCATTTAAGGTACATGTAAATCTGGGATACACAGCACATACACAATTGCAGAGCAGAACCTGAAAAGTGATCAAAACCACCTCAAACAGCTACACTTATCACCCAAGTCACATCCTAAGATCTCTGAACATACGTTTAGTAGGGATATGTTTTTACAGTCTCAGTAGATGGCACAAACCAGTACATACTTTGTGTAGCAGAAATAAGGGGCGAGGGCCTGTGAGGGGAGGGCAAGGTCATTTCTTTTAAGTGTGCAACTGCATTCTCGATGTATTTGGCTGCAGGTGAGCAGCAATGTGCACATCAGTGAGGCGTGCAAACTGTAGGTGAGCTGGCAACACAAAGCGGAGTTGACAAGTAAGAAATGTAGGCAGCTACGCTGGAGGTCTGGGCTGCAAAATCTTTTGAAAAAGCAGCGTTGTGTTTGAGTTATGGAACAAAGCTACCTGGCTACAGGCTCAGCTAGGGATCCTGGTCAGAGGACCTGCTGTGCAGGGAAAATGTTCAAGATGCCCCGTCCTTGGTGGGGTTATTGCTCCTTCCAGGATCACCTACTCAGGCTGATGGACAGGTGTATTGGCCATGGCCTTCTCTTGTGGTGCCTAAAATAACCCATGGGAAGAGCCTGTGGTGTGCAGGAGGTGATGTTATGCCTGGTCGTGGTGCAAGGGATGGGAGATGCCTTCATTCTGTGTGCCACCTCCTGGCTGTGGTATCTATGTAAAGAGCTTTCTGACAGGGCTTGCCCAGTCAGATCTAACACCCCCCAGTTCCTTGCTTCTAATCTCCAGATACATCATTATAAATTTACTCAGGACAATTTTAAATCCTCTTGCAGCTGTGGGGCAAAATTTGTGAATAATTGGATTACTAATAATATGTAAAATCTGCTCTCCTTATCTTCCCCTCTTCCTCCTCTCTTTTTTTTTTTTTTTTTGATTCTAGATCCACTAATAGTTTTAGTTTATTAGTGATCTTTGTCAGTGCAAGCGTGGGCACAGATGAGAGGACTTGTACAGGTAGTGAACAGTAGGGCACTGTTGAGAACCTTTACCTGCCTTTTTTAAAAAAAATAACCTGTTTTGTTGCATGTGCAGTTTGGTGCCCAGATCTGTGATGCCGGACATATGAACACTTTGTTTTATACTGCAGTGGCTGTTTAAAATTTTCTTCCTGAAAACGTTCATGTATGTCCAGTTCATCTTAATGGGTGATCAAAGTGCATGTGCTGAAGATGTACTCTTCAGTGTTTGGACAATTGTACCAATCTAAATCTTTTAAGTGCCGTTAAACTTAGAGGCTACAGCATGAGGCATTAGAGTATCATGAGCCAGACTGGGGAGCTGTCACTATATAATTTGCATTGACACTGTGGTGCTTGTGGCTACCATCAATCATTGCTTGTGTGGGAGACAAGAGAGCGTGCTGTTGTAGGGAGCTACTAACACAACAAAATGATACAGTAGTCCAAAATGAAAGAATACTTATTCAAAGATAATAGAGATACAAAACAATTCCAGATGCAAAAAAGTCCCTGCCTTGTCTGTAATCTTCTCTAGATGAAAGGACCTGATTCTGCAGATCCCAGAGCCAGGGATATGGGGCTGTCTGCCAGGGGTGGCTCCTGTGGCTCCTCGGTATCAGTGATGGTGCTCATCGCTGGGGTCTACAGCTGCACAACTCGCAGCCCCCTGCTGTGTTAGAGGGGCTTGGAAGACCTATCTGTAGAAACCGAGGGAAAACGTCCATCTTCAGGGACACGTTAAATTGAGATGATAGTAGGCAGTAGTGCTCAGGGAGGGTCTGGGTGATGTGCCTGCACTAGTGGGAGGCCTCCTTTGAAAAAATGCCATCAGTCTGCAAAACAGAACGAGGCGGCCAGGGTAGCTTAATTTTTCTACTTTGAGGCTTTTTTCCCTCTTATTAGCCAGGGTAGCTTAATTTTTCTACTACTTTGAGGCTTTTTTCCCTCTTATTCTGCCCAGATTTAGAGCCTGCTAGGAACCTCTCAAGTGGGAAAAGTGCAGAATCTCAAAACAGAAGCTAAGAGTTTTTCTTGGGTATAACATTTCAGTCAATAATGCGCTGCTGCCTTATTGACGTGAAAAGAATGCCTTTCATGTGATACAAACATTTACTTGCTCCTGCTTACTCTACTCACCTTGTACAGAAATGCTGATTGCTATTGACTAATCAGTCCATTTTTGTATATTCTCATCAGACTCTTTCTTTGGCTGGAACAATATGCACTGTATGATGCTTGCATGTCTAATAATTTGTTATTAGCACCTTGTATATGCCTTTGTTACTTCACAACTAACAGTTTGGCCTCCGAGTGCATGCATTTATGTAAATTAATGTGTTACAAAATATGAGATTTATTTGCTATGTTTGTATCAGTATAGGAGATGTGTAAGATGTACATAAAAACACTGATAATAGCCATTTAGTCACTGGCAGAAGACATTGTTCAGCTTGTATTTATACAATCACTATTTCTATTTAGGCTTCATAATGCCATGTCTATCTTTTAGTTCTGTATTTATTCAATTGCAGATTTGGTTTGTTAATTTTATAATGATTAATTACAGTACCGTATAAAACACTTTAAGAAATCACTTTTGTTATACAGTACAATTCTAATGAGAAGTAGAAAATTTTTTTCTTCCAGTGTTCCTGAAAGCTATAAATACCTTTATTCATATAATGAAATGATTAGACTACCGATCAAACAACTTTGTTCCCCCAATATTGAGCTAATAATAAGCTATATACTTGGTTCTGAACCAAGCTTCAGAGTAATGGCAGTTGCTGTTGCAGTGCGAGAACCCAAAGACATCACATTTATTTCGTGTGTTTCAACATCTCAGGACACTGTCTCCTGCAAAGTCTCCATCTTCCTCCACTGGATCTATTGCTTCCAGCAGAAAATACCCTTACCCGATGCCACCACTTCCTGATGAGGAGAAAAAAGCCAACAGGCAAAGTGCCAGGGTACGTGTCCCTCTTCTCTGTGCATTTCATCAGTGACTTTATTTACCGGTAGTTTTTCAAAAGGAAAGCATGGCAGATCAGCATCTTTGACTAACAGCAAGAGCAGCAGTGATATTTCCTTCATACCCTTAACTCCAGAAGTTGCTGAAGGCTGAGCCTCTCCCTGGCAGCAATTAGGGCAGCCTCGGTGGCTATGTTTACAGGTATGTGTTCAGGTTGCTCTTAAACCTGCCCTGAAGTCCAGATTTCACTAGTTGTCTTGTTTCAAGCTGGGAGCATGCCTGGGGTGGCCTGGGGCTGCGGAGGACAGGCAGCCTTGGAGGACAGGCAGCCTTGAAGCAGGCGGCACGTCTGGCTCTCCTCGCTTACCCTTTCCAGGGGCTGATACAGCCAGCAGCTCTCATTCACGATGGGGAATAGCTGCTTTCCAGCTTAATGTTGCAGTTAAGGAGGATGTGGAGGACTTGTATCAAGCCCTTGGAGATCTGGTGGGACTTTGCTGCTGTGTGCCCTGAGCCCATCCTGGCCCCCCGGCGTGGGCAGGAACCGCTGGAACGTACTGTGGATGGTGATGCTGCTCCACAGGGAGAGATTTCCAGCTGCTGCTCTGCTGAAAGGCAACACTAGCCATTGCTTCCTTTGTGTCAATTCAGACACAGCAGATATTTGAATAAAACCTGAAATTTACTTGAGGAGTTCTACGTACGATAGCTTTAGTTCATGTTCCTGATGTAGATGAGATTCCCATCTCTGCTTTCTGTCCTTTTTTTCCAAGAAAAAAAAAAGGAGTGGAGTGCTGCTGAGGGGATGTGCATGCTGCTACCCCCGCGTCCTGCTCAGGACAGGAGGTTGTGTGAGGGGCAGCGGAGGATCTCTCAGGTGTATGTGGAGCAGAGCAGCTTGGAGGAAGGGCTGCACTGATGTTTCTGAGCCCTGGAGCTGCCTCGGGAACCAGCCCAAATCCACAGCAGAAATTCGTGCTGCCCTGAGCAGAGTTAGGCAGAAGAGAGTGAGGAATTACACTCGTATTGGTTAGCATAACTGTAAGGTAAAAGCTGTCTAATACAAAGCTGATGCTACACTGACGTTTTTCCTTTAAACTCTCTGTACTCCCAGCCGTGGGCATTTACTATGCCAACTGCAAGTCAGGCTCAAGTGCTTGAGATTGCTGACTTTGTGGTCTGAACGATACCCACCAGAGGCTGGGAGCAGACCAAGAGCGTAGCCTTGGTGACCCAAGTGATGTAGATGCAGTTCCCCAAACAAGCTCCTCACACTGTTTGGGTAACAGCCTGCTTTATCTTGGTGTTCAGTGTGTGTTTGTGTTCCTTTTTCCCCCTCTCCAGCTATGGGAGACGTCCATTTAGCTGCACTGTTTTCCTGGGGTGACATCAGAACTGTTTACTTCGAATTTTATAGAAACTCAGCATCACTGAGTCATTGCACATTCATCTGCTCTTCAGACAATTTGAAAGATCAACAGAGATGCCCGTGATCACAGTGAGAACCTCCTCTCATCTGGAAGGAAAAAAAGCAGTCTTTTTTTTTTTCTTTCTTTTTTTGTTGACTAGTATTTTATGGATTTAATGAACAACCAGAATCATAACAGCGGATAATTAGCCCGGACGTGACAAGGCTATTCCGCATGGTGACAGATACACTTCCATAGAATCCCAACTGCAGTCTGTTTGCCAGTCCCGCGTAAGAGAGAGGTTTTTCTCTGGTTTATTGTGGTCCCGAGTCAGACCAGAGTGGAATTGGGAACGTGCCTCCTGGAGATCCCAGCTGATGTAAACTTGTACGCTGTATGCATGAACCTTGTGTTCTTTACTTTCCACATGTAAGGGATAAACAACATACTGTAGTAGAAATTAGCATGCAGGAGTAAGAAATATAGGATTTTTTTTGTGACAGGATTTCAAACTTTGAAAGGCAGCAATTTGACACAAATGTCAAACAAACAAGGATTATATCTTTTTTTTACCTTATGTGTTTATAATCTCAGTATACAGATTGTATATATGTAAACATTTGATAATGTCAAAAATAGCTGTTATACTTAAATGTATTTTGCCAAATGCCTAAGGAAACAGTCACGACTAACATCATCACACTTCCGATTTTCTAATATTACAAGCAGACATCTTTGGAAATACAGAAAGTACAGTACTGTAAAACCGTGTCTCAGAAACTGGTGTTTGACCAAAATCTATACTATCTTTTCAGTATCTTATACTGTCTTGACAATCTCAATTGTATGGTAGATTGCAGAAACCAGTACAGCAGCACTTTGTCTAAAATCATCGTAAGAGGAACCAGCCAAAATCCAAACCAGGACAGATGACCAGTGTATCCTCTCACAGGTGTAATCAAGAATGATTCAGCAGACAACAGAGACAGCTTTAAGTATTGTGCAGCCCAAACTTACTGGACATTTAGGAATACCCCTAAGTAATCAATTCCGGATGTGGTGATGTGAAGTCCTTCTGGTGAGAGTTGCTGTGTATTTTTGATAGAGCATTTCAGACACTCTTTTAGATGGCGAGGTGTAGCTTATGAGAAGCATAACGATTTCACTGCACGAGATAGTAACAGTGCTGGGCAAGTGGCCAGTTTCATTGCTGTCTTTTATTTGTTACTGGAATCACCTTTACCATGCGCGTGAATGCAGTGCTTGCTGCCCCTGAAGCCCCCTTGACTATTTCTGGGGGCATTAAACAGAGTACGAGTGAGTTTAGCCTAAATAAAATGAGGTAAGGGGGGAACAAACCCTTTACCGTGGAGATGTTAGTATTGTTTGTAAGTGGATGGTTGTATTTCTAACACCTGAGACTTCTAAAGGTTGTTGTAAAACAGATGTCTTTTGCTTCGCAATTTTCAGTCAGTAAGAAACTGGACCATATTAAATCAGTTTATACTTCTCCAGCTTTCCAAAATTGACTAATTATTAGCTTCAGATAGTACCACTGCAGAATAAAACACTTGATTCTGTGTGGTGCAGTTGAATACCTTGCCCAACAGCCGTATGATCAATTAGATATTATTGTGATGGGAACATCTACGGTGTTTCTGAATCTTCTACCTCTTTCATGTATTTCCTTTAATAATTGACCCCAACACTTACAGCCTTTTAATATATTTTTTTAACTTTTAAGTCTCTCGATAAAGTCAAATATATGTAAGATTAAATTAAGACATGTTTAAAGATGTCAGCAACTGTAAAGTATGTAAGATTTTTAGAAGCACTATATTTTATGATTGGGCTGTGTGTTGGATTATGACAAAATATTGGCCTTGGAGTTCAAATGATTTTCCTTCACAGTCGACAGGTTCTGGTAAGTATTTTGGAGAAAGACAAATATCAGTGAGTACAACTGGACGCAGACAGACCATCTGGAAGGAGCCAGTCACTTGTAATTGCATTAGGAACAGATTCTGCACTTTTGTGAAGAGTACATATCCGTCAGCACTGAAGAATATTTTTTGCAAAGATTTACTCTGAGCGTAGGTAACTGGATTAAAGGTAGTTGGTAGCGTATGGCTCATGGCCTGAGCCATAACCACTTGAAATCAGTAGGTCTGTTACTGATTTCACTGGACTTTGAGCAGGACCCTCAAGGAGTTCACCCACTTTAGGACATTATGCTAACCTGAGAGCCACCGTGTTACTCTGTGGAAGCTGTTTTTCCCTCACATATTAGTATCATGTCTTTAGTAACTGGACTGTTCATCGTGTGCCTTTTATGGTATTTTGTTTGGATTCAAACTGGCATGTAATTTTGAATAATCCTGTTAGATTTCTGTGTGTATTTTATGTTTACCACCGTTTACTCTTCCCTTTCCATTTTGCCTTACCAAGAAGCAGCAAGATTTGCCAGACCGAATTGGATATAACATACTGGCTCTTTGTGTAATGTGCATATCTTCTTGTTTTGCAAAAAAAAAAAAAAAAAAAAAAAAAAAAAAAAGGCTCTCCTGACTGTATTTTCAATGTAGTATGTACTTTCAGCTTCTCTCGTTTTGGTATAATTCATGTGTAGCAGATGATGATACAGTTATGTGTGTAGTGTAATTCTAACAGTCAATTCCACATTTGGAGATATGTAGTGACTGGAAGTCTAGTTATGAGCACTAAGTTTAAGTTAAATAAATATTGACTTTGACTTTGATGGTCTAGAGTGAGAACATCACAGGACTTGGGGTTTTGCAAAATTCTTCTGCAGAAAATTTTGCAGCAGGTTGGTAACTTGGAGACCTTGCCGTTGCACAAAACCTGAACTGGTAGGGCTGTGTGAGCCTCCAAAGCCAGTGGAGGTCAAAGAGAAAAGTTGTTTGCTTACATTTTGTGGTTTCTTGCTTCTCAAATGTAGTGTGTTGGAAAGGTGCCAGATTAATAACCTTGAAGACTTGCAAAGATTTTTATCCACTGTAGTTACACTGGCAATAGCAATATAAATTGCTGCATAATACCTCATCCAGTCTAAAATAACTTGTATTGTCAATAAGATAGCTCAGTCGTTTTCACTCATCAAGACTCATGCTTTTATTTTTATTTTAATAAACGAATTCGTTATTGCCAGCGATGCTGTAGATGCCTGTTGAAGTGGGGACATTATCAGTTTTCTCAAATAGAAGTAATAGTCCATGTGAGCGTAGGACCTGCAGGATGAGCTGTACTTAAGTTAGTGTTATGTATTTCAATGTGGGAGAAGAGTCTTGTATAATCTAAAATTCATATGACTAACTGATGGAGACTGGAAAATAGAGATCACATCCAAATAATAATGCTGCACAATGATGCCACAGTTTGACAAGTAAAAATTTACCTGCTAATTCTGGATTTGTTGACATAAGAACTTGAGTAATCCATACTATAGACTTTTGGTGAATATACTCAGGCAATATACCAGAAATGGTTGTGATTGATTGATAACTTACATATAGTTTTGGTATACTTCAGTAAGCAGTTTTAAGGAGGTTGTTAATTTTATATAGCCTGTCTTTGCTTAAGTTATGAACTGAAGTCACTACTTGCCAGTTATCTGAAGCATGACTTGACTTTGAAGATAGCTTCTTCCAAATGATTTGAATTCCTGATTTATGAGACGTTGAACCTGCTAAGTTGATGTACTCATCAGATGGTAACTTTGATTGTGCTAATAAACAAATGGACCTTTGAGCTATAGCCTGAATTAAAATCAGAAAGAAGTTGTGTCAATAGCTAGTGTACTAAAGCCCTCTTAACCTCAATCCCTGTTGCTGGTTTTAAATGAACCGAGTGGTCTTCTCCACAACGGGACAACCGTTTTCAAAACCAGAGCTAAGAATAGGTACATACGCTATTACAGGCACGCATATACTACAAATTCTGACCAAATTTGCAGTCATTTTGTTAATGAATTTGTTAATGAATAGGCTAAGATGTAACATGAAAGAATGATGAAACTTCAGAATCCTACAGGATAACAAGTTAGCTCATAGGCCTTGCTCCGTCATCGAATCCCACACCCAGCTGTTGCAAGCAAAATTACCACACTCCAGTGTAAAACCCAGCAAGCTCCTGTTCTCTTCCATCCCCTTTCTGCTCCCACTGGAAAGCTTTCCATGAAATTACATTCACTAGCAGCCTCTTGTGTTAGTTGGCTACGATCAAAAAGCTGCTAAGTTAGTCACCTGTTCACACAATGGCCTCAACAAGGTCTCTCCAGTGCTGTTACATCTCCTGCTCTTGCGACAGTGTAGGTGACGGCGCCTCACATCTCATGTGCAATGTGCACTGGTAAAACCATTTGGTGGCTCAGCCATCCTGCGTCTCTCTCACTCTCTAGCGTTGTTGAAGGCTTAAGTCTGTGAACCTAAAAGTTGTGCTATGTCCTATGTCTCTTGCTCCAAGTCTGAAGATCATCCATTTCTTTTTCTAAATTACTTAAGTAGCATCTTTGTCATCAGCGGACTGTTTGGGCCACTGTTATCAACCACAGTGTGAGGTTATTTACCTCATTTTTAAAGAGCTTGAACATTCTGGTTGCCTCTGAAGCCAGCTTTTTGTCCAGAATCCATCAGACTATTTGCATGGCTTCCAAGCCATATGAGACATCAGCAGTATGGGATTTGCCTTTGATCAGATTTCCTGAAGACAAATATGAGTCAACTGCACACCTATGTACAACTTGTTATCCCATGGCTGCATGGTAGGGTAACGTTCCTGTGTGCACGTAACTAGTATTCTAATAGAGCAGGACAAAAAAGAACAGTGAAACTATGTAGACATAGATAGGACTCAACAGGAAAATAAGTAATACCCCCTGTCATCTACACTAAAAATCTCCTTTGGCCTGAGTATTTTCCAAGTCAGCTTATGAAAAACATTTCTGGTGCCTCAAGTATGGATACTGATGTAAACTAAAGCTTTGGAAACAGTAGTTCATACACCCAGTACATGCTATCTTGTCATTCCACAAGTTTTCTGAAGCTGTTCAGAAAAGCACAACAACAGTCAACACTAATATGTTGTCCAAGCCAACTAACCGAAACAAACAGTAAAAATAAGTTCAGAACACAGAAATGTGGTTATTTGCCCAACTTTAGAAACTTTGTACCTGACTTCAAAACTGGCTCACCTAGCCAAGTCTGGTGGCTTTAGTTCTCTAAAATCCAATCTGCACCAGTTTCAAAATCACTTTAGTTAAGCCAGCTTAAAACTGTTCAAAAACTTCTGCTATGTAGACGGGCCGTAATTGCAATATAACTCGGAATGAGATGAGGAACACTGGGGAAAGGAAGCACAGAGCAGTTAAAAAGAAACACATTCTCTACGGGAGAAGTATAGGTGTCTTACTATTTTTAATTACTAAAGCATAAAATGTTAAAAGCAACAAGCTATATTTTTTTTCTGTTTCTGTATTCCTCTGAATAAAAAAAATAAAGTTTTGGTTAAAAAAATAAATCTTAACATGAGGCCTTAAGACCTTACATATTCTAACTTTAGCATGGAGAGTCTATTTTTACAACCACATTAGCAATTCTGTATATAGGCCTGATTGACCATGTAAGTATAGTGGTGCTAGCAGCTAATCATGCAATATCGTAAGGCTCTGTATAACAGTAAATGCTGATTTATTTTGATTATTGGTACAAGGACTCCTGCTCACTGCCT